GGGGGGCAGAAAGTGGAGACAAAAGCGTACTACAAAACATGGTTAGAGAGCAGGAAAGGAGGTGAAAAGAGAAAATTTTAGATGAAAAATTTTCCGTCGCTGTCAGGTTTCGAACCCGGGACCCCTTGAATGAGAGGTAGACACGTAACCCCTAGACCACGAGAGCGCCCCTTCCTGATTCCAGTTTGTCACAGGCCTCGGTTGTGCCTTGCATGATGAAAGTTATCTCTGACTCTCTCAAAAAGAGCAAATTTAATGATTGATTGATTGTTTGAATTGAATGTTATTGTTCAATTGTTTTTAAAGAAGAACATTCATTGTTGAAATTCTACAGAGTAATTTAAATTTGCTTTGATTTGCATACAAAAAGGAAGACATATTGAACAACTCAAGCTGAATTGACATTTTAGAGGGACTATCTCTGCACCACCAATTTGAAGGTGGAGAATTTAAAAAAAATTAAGTTACAACTCTACAGTGTTGAAATGCTGTAATTATGACTGTAATCAATACTCAAATACTTAAACGAAATTGTGACAAACTGAGCCTGTGACAAACTGGGCAGCCCCCTCCTGAAGTGCCTTGTCCCCCCTCCTTCCTGTGTGAACCGACTCGTGACTGCTGCCCGCTACAACAACAGCCAACACGTCACGCGGATTTCTCCACACAATGGGCGGCGGCTCGGCCACGGAGGAGCTATTGCTTTGATCTCAGTTCTTTGATCTTAGATTACCACTATTATACCACGACGGAGCCAACGAAAAGAAAAACAACCCCCACCTTCCCCAGATACTGCTACAATCGCTACCTGATATTATGGTATGTCAAAGGAGCCATCTCCAGATTTTTGGGAGCCTTAAGGCTCGGAAACAGAATGATTTAAATAAAGGCCAATCCTTAAACGAATATATCCTTTCTCTCTTTCTTATACCCCTCCCTCCCTTTCGCTCCCCCCCCCCCTCTCTCTCTCTCTCTCTCTCTCTCTCTCTCTCTCCTCTTCTTCTTCTTTTTCTTCTTCTTCTTCTTCACCCCCTGTCTTGTCTTTTTCCTCATTTCTCTCTTTGTCTCACTAACAATAAAAATATATTTGTAGAGATCAATTTCAAATAGCCTCTCCTGTATCGGGTAATTTCCAAGAAGAAACATAAATAAAACGGAATAATGTCGGTGAAAAAGTTCTTACATGTGTACAATGTTTGAGCATTCACTGTTCGAGCTTCAGGAGGAATGTCTCATCAAGTGTTCGTCTTATTCCTTTGTCTATCTTTTCTTCTTCTCCGGTTCTGTTTATGTGTTTACGTCAACATATATTCTGTCTGTCTGTCTGTCTGCCTGTCTGTCTGTCTGTCTGTCTGTCGTCTTTACTTCTAGCACATCTTTCTCTTTCTCACCGCTAGTCTCGATCTACGTGCAACTTTCTCCTTTCTCGTGTATGGAATTTCATTCTTTTAGGCATGCAGAAACTAAGCTTGTAACGTATAAAAAAAGAAACATAACCATCATATTCGCCGGCGCTCGTCAAAATAATGAAATAGAAGAAACTGTTATTTTTCCATCCGTTGGGCAATTTATATCGAACCCTTTTTGGGCTCAAACCTACTATGTCCAATTAAAACATATTTCTGTTCAGATTTTACTGAGAGACATCAATGAAAAATAAACGTAAATTTGCAATTTGCAAGGAAACTCAAGCTTTAAAAGTCACCAATTTTTGGAAACCATTTTCTCGCAAATTTCACCTTTGAAACTACCCCCCCCCCCAAAAAAAAAAAAGAAAAAAAGAATCATATTCTATCTCACACATTTCAACTTCTCTTCAAGATAGACGGCATATCCTAAATTAAAAGCAAAAAAGTTAAACAACATTTAACAATAACACCATATTCCCAACATTTGATGAGGAAGCCGATTCCACCACAGTGCCACACATATCGTGTATGCGCTACTCAAAACATGTTTGTAGCCAATGTTTTTCAGAAAAGTGAAAAAAATGGGTTCTCTTTCTTTTTTTTTGGGGGGGGGGGGCATTATTGCTCAAACTGTTGTATAGAATGTTAATTTTCCATTTTATATTATCGAGCATTGTTATCTGAAAAACAGAATTTGAGACAAAAAGACGTTACATAATTTTAGCAGAAACACTGTTAGAGTTAGACACGATATGAAGTATTGCTGTATAAATCGATTTCCATATTTGCGTTGGGGCATTGTTAAACCCGCAATTTCTCACTAACGTCATAATATGGGTGGTTTAATAGTGCCACTGGAATGTCCCACAGTTTTCTTTCCTTGTGTTGCTCCAATCATTTCTAACTTTGTTGCTGCACTAAATGACTGCAATCGTGTCAACGTGCTTTTCTTATTAAATCCACAAACCTCCCCCCCCAGTCTGTCATGTTGCGTGCGCAGAGAAAAATGAGCGCGGTCGTAAATGTAAAACAAACCCCCCCCCCAACAAAAACGAACAGACAAACAAAACGTCCATCTTCTTTTATATGTTCTCCAATGTCTTCAGAATAATATAGGACATGCTGACAAACAACATACATTGGATACAACTTTATTTGGGTTTATTTCGAAGGGCACAACATTCATTTACGTCCCCCATTTTCTTCTCAG